GTTAGTTGAGGGCCGTTGTCCATCATCCTGTGGAAGCCCGGACGGATTGGTGGTTTGCACCGACGATGATCGGCCGGCGGATGCTGCAAGGGTCGCATACGTGGTGGACTCCCAGCTGTACGACTCCTCACCTCCCTGCTCGTACTGGGCCGCGTCGTGGCTTCGCCGGTTCGGCGATATGGAGCGGGGATGTTGTGGTGACGATGGCGACTTCGGTGATGACTTATGCACCCTCTTCGTTGTCGCCGGATGGTGTTCTTCATCTTCCGAGGATGATGTTGGTGCTTCGGAAGATGAGAGGTTGGAGCCTATACGTTGCCTCTTTTCAAACAAAGAGGCCTCGGTTTCAGGGGGAGTATGGCGTCTTGCCGTTTTCATCGCCCGCTGCGGTTGGGGCGACGGTTCCTGCCTAACCGTGTGCTCAGACACGAGAGGCGTGAGCGCGACGCCCGGTGCGGGCTCCTTACGCGGCGAGACGGATTCCCTGGTCGGGATTTGCGAAAAGGACGGAACTATCCTCGAGCGTTCCGGATTCGCTAGATCCCTTACAAGGAGTGAACGATCTAACACTCCTTTCCGGTCCGGTAGTTTTCTGTTTCGGGGAGGGGGCGGTTCCCCCTTGTCCGACATATCGTTATTGGTCTACCTACTTGTGAAGTGTTCGACGTAATCTAACGGGTCCTATCTGTTCTTACCAACGATCGACAGGCAATGATGCGCGACGCGATGGTAGGGATAATACAACGTAATTGGCTTCAGCACTCAGTCCGTGACCGTGACCGTGATCCGTGACCATGGGTGCTATAAAGTGCTCGAAACGTCGGGTATTTAAAAAGTTAAATATACGCGATAAAATCCGAAAAAACTAGTATTATTTAAATATTGCTCTTTATTCTAGTCTCGTCGATATTATATATAATAGTTGCATCGAAATTGTATTGTTCTATCAGGCTCTAATAATTGTAAGTGCAATAAAATAAATCCACTTGTGGTCCGTTAAAACCTGTTTATCTTGCTAAAGATGTTGGCTTCAGAGCTCCTAGTACAATTTCTGTCAACGCTTGAAGACCAGAATACTAGTTAGTCATCTCCAGCTTTTCCGTTTTTTTAATGAATGAGAAATATGATTTTTTGTTGCATAATTATACACTAGTTCTAAAAAATCTGAACCAGTGACTTCAAAAAGCAATGTAATCTTAATTATATAAAGTACCCGGTTGACCGAGCTTTGCTCGGTATTTTTCGCTCGGTTTTTTTTAATTCGTGTGTTTTGGAAATTATATTTAGATACAAATTACATACTGATAAAATAAGAATAATATTTTTTGATCTTAGCGACATAATAGAAAAAACTGAACTGGTTATTTGAATAAAAATCATGAGTGCAATTAGTTTAATTTGAATTTTCGTGTTTTTAAAAAATACTAAAAAAGGGCTCAAAAAATAGATTTTCTCAAAAAAAGAAAGAAAAGTCGGTCAGTCGGTCTGGGATCGAACCATGGTATTACGATTTTGTGACCGCCCAATATACCAATTAAGCTATTTGTAATCGGTAACAAACTGTCAAAATTTACCTTCTTATATCCTAACGATATTGTAGCAGTTTTTCATTGCCTAAAAACACGGGCAAAAAGACATTTTCTAATAATAAATCCTAGCTAGATCGATTTATTGCCCCCGAAACTCCCTGCACACAAAATTTTATGAAAATCGTTGGAGCCGTTTCCGAGATTCCGATTATATATATATATATATATATATATATATATATATATATATATATATATATATATATAAATAATATACAAGAATTACTCGTTTAAAGGTATAGGATACGTGTCACTTTGTTTGTCCGCGTTGGACTACTAAACTACTTAAAAACATCTTTGTACTTAACCGATTTTAATCAAATTTGCACACCGTGTGCTGTTTGGCCCAACTTGAGAGATAGGATAGTTTTGTTGCCCATGAGTGACTCACAATTATTTTTTTGCCAAAATAATGATTTTTAATAGGGCATGACAAAGTGTCGTCGAAAAGAGCAAAACAACGTCTGCCTGGCCAGCTAGTACAATATAAAACTGATTAAAGAATTCTTACTTAAGTAAGAGTTAAAAAAGCTGTAAACAAACCGAATTTACAACCAAATTAGGTTTAGGGTGCGCACGTGTTCACTGCAAATAAAATAACGCTTTGACAAGACGCTGTGTAATTCAAACAGTTTTGAGCCGGTAATTGTAGAACAGATTCACGGCTGTCGCAGTTTGAAACAGCGATCACAGAGTGAGCTATTTCATTTAGTTACAATAACTCCGCCGCACCTATAGTTCTATTATTTTATAGTTTTTGTTAGTTTAGGAGTACAATATAGTAAAAATTAAGATTTATAACATATATTGATAATTTTAAATCCCAAATAGTTTTTATTTTTACCTCTTATGTAATGTAAGGAAAAAGTTGTAGACACAATGGTTTGTAAATTGTTTTTATTTTTATGTTTTTTTTGTACTTTCGTATCACTGACCTATATTAGCGTAGTAGTATATATCGTCGGTCGAAAACAGTAGTGGAACATTTCAAAATGAGTAAATGTGAGATATTGAGCAATTAAAAATTAGAAATACTTATTTTTCCATTTAGTAAGTGTTTAGAGAAAAAAAGGATTGTTTTTAATGTTGTTATATTTTGGTTAGACTTTACATTTATGATTTCTATTAAATTCATTCATTTTTTATTATTTGTTTTTTAAGTATAAATAAATATTTGAAATGTTCCACTACTGAATTAATTTATTGACTGCAAATATCCCGCTGGAATGGAATATTTTTGAATGTACCAGTACTGAATTAAAAAACTATGTATTTTTCTTAAATAATGACCTAAATAAAAATGAAATCTAGAAAACCTTAACAAATAATTGCATTTTTAGAGAATAATTAATAAAACACTTTTATAGTTTTATAACATTTTTTTATTTATAAGTAAGAAAATATAAAAAAAGGGAACAATTAGTCATTGTCAGCTCTATCTGAGGAAGCTGGCAATGTTTTATAATAATCCCAATAAACGCTTGGAATTACTTTACCATCACATAATGAAATCAAATCTTTCTTTTTTAAGATTTGATATTCCAGGATGAGTGCGATATTTATTTGTCAAAACTAATGTTTCGTTGTTAGGCTTGCCCCGCATTTTATGCCGAACATTGAAGCATTTCATTGTACTGTCAGGTTGATAAGTGTCCAAGTAATAAATAGCAAAAGGATTAGTAGCTTGCATAAATATTTTCTTGATATCATTCCACACTTCACTCTCCTTCTGTATTTATTGTAAAAGTTTTCCGAAAGTGTGAACTTAGTTCTTTTAAATCAAAAATTCTGAATAATCTAAATCATGAACTTGGTAGGGATTACCTTTCTTCTTAGCACATTGTATAATTGTCCTCCATTGAGATGGCACGAACACGGAACCATTTTTTAACATTCGGAATTTTTCTCTTTCAATAGTGGCATGAACGCTATCGCCCTCGTTCTGAGTGTGCCCGACAACAAAGTATTTATGTGTTATAGATTTAACACCCAACATTTTTAAGGCATAATATAGTATAATGACAATAAATACTTATTCCTATTTTGTGCTGAGTAGTTGTCGGTATAAAATATAACGTGTTTTCCATGACAAAATTCTTTGAAAAACTGTAAAATACAAGATCTTAACTCGTCACATCCTTTTCCACCCAAAGTTTCGTCCCATAAATAACAATGTCCAGATTTATTAACGATGTAATATACGGTACAATTATAAACATTAAGGCGTCTCTTATAAAAAAATAGCGAGTCATTACCCGCTGGAGTTTGAAGAACCGCTTGCATGTCATAACAACAAATAATCTTTTGTTTGTCATTTTCGCATGTTTCTATATCTATCCTCTTTTCTTCTCTGCAAAGCTCTTTTTCTGTAAGATGATCTTTATAACTCTTTTCCATTTCTTGTTTCTGTTCTGTTGTTGCATTATTGTAAGAACAGCAAAGAGAGCATTGATCCTTCTTTGGTACATGAAAAGCTATATTAAATTCAGTTCTAAAAATGTTTTCATACGTTCCTTATTTAGCTTCAGGCTTACCTTCTTTATTACATCACTCTTTGTATTGCCTGTACATCATACATAGATTTAAATCACCATCAAAATATTGTTTATTTCATGATGCTCGACAGTAGTGCGATTCCTTAGTAGGATATGAGTTTATGTGTTCATGGACTCCATCCTTAACAAAGTCAGGTAATAGTTTAGCTTTCCTGTTATGCTTACCTCTTAAATCTTCTAAAACTATACCCGATGATGTTGTTTTCTTACATAACGTCGTTATAAATGAGTGCCCAATATCCAAAGTGTGCATAAAGAACTTTTTACGTACCCTTATAATTAATTATACCATCTATTGTTAAATGATAAGCCGCATTAATAGATCTTTTACTCTGAGCATTATGTAGCGAATATTTCGGCTTTACTTCTTTCATAGCATTTTTGACAAAATCTCGCTGTCTATTCAAATCACCTAATATCCAAAAATTATTGAATATTACTAATCTTTGCTGCTCATTAATCTTCAGTGTACACTTCAACCGACATTGGTCTCCACAACCAGGTTTTAATTGTTTAGCATTAACTAATTTTCCTTTCTCAGTAGTAAGCCATACCTGAATTTTTTAAACATTTCTTTTTATTTTTCTTCCATGCCGAGGGATTTCGTTGTCTCTTTCTTGTCAACTTCTTCTTTTCTTCCGAAGCATTATTTTTAGAAAGCGGGGTTGATGGTGACGGCTATCTGTTAATTAGTATATTATTTTCTTTATCTTCTCCTCCCCCTAAAATTTCAATAAGCTCGCCACCTAAGCTAACAAAGACCTCGTATAAAGCTATTGCATAAATAATTTAGAACTATGAAATACATGTTGATGGGCAGCAAGCTAGTTTATTAAAATAGTATAAAAAATCATACTTAGATTAGAAGCTTCATTTGCTGGCTCATGCTGGCTGGCTACGAACCTATCGTCTGTACAACTTTCCATATTTATTGCCTGCTCTACACCTTAAAAGAAATTCAAACAGTTAAATATACACACTATACCAAAACACAAGAATAATATATGCATATAGGTACGTAGGTACCTCTATTATGTACTTAAATACATGAAGATAGGTACGTACTTCGATTATGTACTTCATTCAGGGGCCAAGAATTCTCTTCAACATATTGCTGTATTTCACCAACTTCATTATTATTAGATATAAAAATAGTGTCTGGAGATTTTTCTATGTTCAATGTCTGTTCAGCATCTTAAAAGCAATAAAAGCAGTTAATAGGAAAGAATGTTTAATAAGATTTATTAGATATAAAACAGAAAAGTGAATAATTATTTACCTAGACTTTGTACATTTTGTGGCAAAGAATACTCTTCAACTTGCTTTATCTCACTTTCTGTAGAATAAAAGTGGTTAAAAATATAGCCAAAGCGTGCAAAATTTTAAAAGTAACGACTCTTTACAAAATACACAAACGTTACAAATAGAATACACACCTTTGTTTTCAATATTGGCGTCTTCATGGATTACCATTTGCAACATTTTCATTGATCTTCCATATAACTTAGACACAGACATTTTTGCAGATTGTATTACTTTTGACAATACGGTCTACCAAGCACAGCATGCATGCAGCGCGTAACTAAACAAAGGCGCGCGAGACTCGAGCGAGATCGAGAATCGTGATGGAATAAATTTAATTCAACTTTTGATTTTGAGATTGGAACCGTATTGGAACATTTCGAAGTGTCCCAATACTGAATAATACTATATGCACAGAGTAGAAGTGGAACTTTCATTTTCAATCGACTTCTATGTGGAGTTTGACTTATTCCGATACTGATATAGAATTGGCACTGAAATAGTAATGTAACAATCTTAAAAAGTTAAAAACCAAATTTTCAGAGATGTTCCACTACTGTTTTCGACCGACGATATTATGGATTTCTGTGTTTCGTATTTTTCTTTTTAATCTTTTCTAAAGAAATCATTAAAGATTAATATCTTAAATGATTTCTTACATTTACTCGAACACTACACATTGAATAAAACTACTTATATGTATTCTATCGCGTTTAATTACTATTATTTTTTAATATTAAATAGGATGGAATGGATGGCTCGATGGATAAAATTTCGTGTGAAGAATATGTGATTTTTATTTTTTTTTAAATATATTCCTTTATTTTATCGGCCATGGGATTTATTCACCACGGCTTTGGACATTACCGATAATCATCTTTTGGCTAACTACAACTCATGCTTAGTTGTGACCATTTTTTTAGCATGATCGTGGAAATTCAAAGTATTATATTAATGGTATTTTAAGGTCTAAAGGTGAATGCCCACTCTTCATAGACACTTCGGCCATGAGTGCCCACATATAAAAGCATATAGATATGATAATATGCAATTAAAACAATGAAATGGTAAAGGAATTGCTTTAAAAAACATCGGGGTTTTGAAAATATAGAAGTTTTTATTTTCACAAATGCAGTTTTTTTAACAACTATTTTTATCGATTTTATCGCATTTTATTTCTTTGATTTTTAATTCCAGACGTTTCGGGTGCTTTCCAGCACCCATGGTTACGGCAGACTGAGGTGACTGACGTCCCAATGTCAGTGTTAACCCGGAGTACCTTCATATTTTAAATTTTTATTTATGGTCCGATCTACAGAATGAACTTACTGTGTCTTGAAGTCTTGCAGTGGTATGCTTGGGTTTAATTTTAATTTCATTAATTACAGGGTCCTAAGCAGGTGGTAGTACCAAGCCTCCTTCTCTATTGAATAAAGAATTTTTTTATTTCAATAGTCTCATGTATCGTCCTTTTAGAGGATTTGTGGTCTATCAAATCTTTTTTTGATGTCTAGCTAGTTGGGCCCGTCCAGAATATGATCACAAACTGCAAACTTCCCTGAACTTTGATGCTTCACGTCAGCGACGTCACGCTTCAAGATGTAGCCAATCTTGTCTGTGACACCCCTGACAAATGCTAGTACTGCACATGCTTTACTGTGGCCGGCTTCACTCGGTCACTGTGACGTAAGCGCGGGCCCGAAGTTTGTTGACGTGCAGAACCTGCTTGACGTGCTGAAGCTCGACAGCCAGATGTTTGCTGCCACAGATCCCTTGTGCTCTCTGTAACAAAGATTTGCTCACGGTAACTAACTGTGAAGGTTGATGGTGAGATTCATTGTTTTCTATACACAGTGTGACCTATGGTGTTGTTAGAATTTTGGATGACTAACGCATCTAGGAAAGCTAAGGAATTATTTGCCTCTAATTTACACATCAATACATCATTCAGGAACTGAGCAGGAAGCAAATTATTAGTCTGATGCCGTGCCAACCCAAATACCATATTACTGTCATAACATGGGCACAGCATCCAACAGTTCGACGGCCGACAGTACTTTTTAATTGCACTTCTACCAGAACCATTGCCACTAATTAAAATATATATAAAATACACTTTACGACTAATGGTGATGACTTGCAATTCTAGCCCTAAGTAAAGATCAGCTAGGGCTTAAGTTTATTCCTTCCATAATGCTGCTCCTCTAGTTATTACAGAGTTCTATCCGGTAGCAACCATTAAATCTTATATGCTCACCATAATAGTAGCGAGCTTGCTTTAATTGGTATGTGACATAAGTAATTAATATTAAGTCGCTGTAAGTTAAAACAGGAAATTCCCTAACATTTTAAAGTCTACATTTATATTTCTAAAGTCTGCTTGCCCTAGCTCTATTTAGATTGTTTTCCCTAGCATACTCAGACAAATCATTATTTGTCTCCATATTCCCGTCCCTTATTTTTGTGTGGAATTTACTAATTATAGCAGCAGCCACAGCAGTCATCAGATCATCAAATGTGTAGAAGCCCTGTTAAAGTAATTTTGATGAAATATTTTAAATTCAGTTTTTAAAATGTCATTTACCACCTCTACTACCCATATCGACACATAGTCACAGCTCTGGATTTATTAGCATATCTTGTCATTAACTGAGATTCACCATCTGCTGGAGACATTCCTGCGACCCTTAGACATCCACATCTATCCTCGATTACAAATCAAAATGCAGATGCGTTGTCACCCGTGAGGACTAAGATCATTTTCTCGTTTCCAGTAAAAAGGGTCTCCGGTTGTCTACACTCACCATACAAAACACAGCAGCATTAAGCTACTATTTCACGCTGGTATTCTGTGAGAGTGTGGTCCTTCCCCGGTCGTGCCGACCCATTCATGCTACAACTATACTTCTAATATAAGTGCAGCATGGCTCTACCACGTATAACACACATACATAGTAATTGTCACTATGTATGTTTGTTATCGCAAAATGTAGTTAATCACAAAAGAGACATACTCGCAATGCTGATGGAACTGTTACAACCAGGTAAAAAACATTGTGCTTTTAAATAATTAGTTAGCAGTACACTGTGTGATGTATGATCTAAGCTTTGTTGTTCTGGGTGCAATACATTACTCACTTCAGATTGCAACAAGGACTGACTAGATGATTCAGATGGTTCCCATTCTGCAGTTGAACGTGATGCTGTTCTATCAGTTCATTGCCAGCAATTATGATATACACGGCATGACAACGGCAACTGAAATAATGTAAAATACAAAAAATGAAGTCAAAGTGAAAAAATAAAATAGATTTGTTTATTTCAAACTCAAATATAAATAAAATATTTATCAAGTTAAATGTTACTGGACAAGGACGGATTTAATGCCCTATATTATTTAACAATTAAGGCCTGACAGACTACCAGCAGTCCAAAAACAATGAAAAATCAACTGTCTCCTTTCTTGGTAGTTGATAAAAATGGTCAATCTCATAAATAAGCTAGTATGTTTGTCAGATATAGCTAGTGCAGATGTGAAAAAATAAAACAAGTTCTTGAGTTGATATACAATCAGTGTAAAAACATGTATAATTATCAGATATGAGGATCACATTTAATATATTGAAAAATGCTAAACATCTTACCTTATCTTAACTCACGTGGCACAAATTGTTCCTCACGTGGAGAATCGAACCCAAACAATGTGTGTGATCTTATTCTTATAAGTGTCAGTGCCACAGCTGATGTATACATGTTCAAGACGAACTATTGGTGCATTTTGCGAGTGGCACACTACACGTTCACTGTACTCGAAACTTGTACCTAATAAAGAAGCTACAATTATTATATTGATATTATTCAAGTAAACTCAGTTATATAGCATTTCTTAGAGGAAAACATGCCACTTCGTGATATGTACCAACTATTTACCTGCTGTGTTCGAACCAATTGTTGAGAGATCAACAATTGCATTTTCCAACAAAACAAAATAACACGCAATTAAATTCTTGTGACATAACAGTGACAGGGGCCTACATGTCAGATTCGATGTTGCCACTTAACTGTCATAAAATCTATGAAACGATATCGATTTTTATTCGATTAATAATATCATGAAAAGAATAATCTTTGACGCGTTTTAAGTTCTGCACGCTTTTTAAAATATAATTTCCTTTATTTATTGAAATTCTATTTCAAATGTATTTTTAGGAACAGTTAGCTTGTGCTGTATTGTTTTGTTATGCTTTAGAGAACTCGTGGTAAATCGGCTAGAAATTAACTTCTTGAATTATCATAACATGATTCCATTTTAAATGTTATGTTAAAAACAGATAAGAATAACAGTTAACTTGTGCAGTAGCGTTTTGTTATACTCTAAAGAATTCTTGGTAAATCAGCTAGTAATTCGCTTGTTTAATTATCATAACTATAAATGTGAAGGTTGTCAATGAATTCAACCGAGCCTATAACAACGGTTGTTTTAGTTTTTAACGGTTGACTACCGCTTTTGATGACTTGAAATGGATAAAAACCCATTTTGTGCAATAAGTTATTTCTCTTTGGTAATGAATAAACCACAGGAACCCCTATAATGTATAATAGTCCTTTTTTTAGACACAAGTAGCACATTTTAAATAACCGCAAAAACAACTTTGTTATTTATACAAACACTATGAAAAACAAAATAATTTGTTGCTGGCGATAATGATAGTAGTATTTTGACTCGATTTAAAATATATGCTTGCTACAGAACTCTTCATGGGCCTGCGAGTCCGACTCGCACTGAACCACTTTTTTTCAACTTTTAGTTTTATTTTAATAAATAGTTTTTTCGTTTAAGCGGAGCTCTTTTACTTTAGATTTATTACCTCTTTATCTATAATAATCAATCTGAGTAAGTAAAGTGTGTAAATACGATTCTTAAATTGTAAAAATAATAATTGGATTTGAACATCTTAGGTAGGTATTTAGTTTTATTAATTTAGAAAATATTAATCTCACAATTAATTATTGTAATAACATAAATGTATCACACAGCTAACGCCCTCATTAGCAATGTAAAAGTAAAATAAAGTTACAGCCTATATACGTCCCATTGCTGGGCTCAGGCCTCCCCTCATTTCTGAGAGGGTTTAGGGCAAGGAAGTGTCCGCCGCGCTGCCCAAATGCGTGTTGACGAACTTCACATGTCTTCGAATTATTTTTTTTTCTCTTATTCCTCAGACATGCAGATTTCCTCACGATGTTTTCCTTCACCGCCGAGCACGTGGTAAATCAGCACTTAAAATTGCAATTAACAATTTCATTGGTGCCGGCGGGGATCGAACCCGGGTCACTCGCGTTCTGTTATATTTACAGCGAGCGTTAACCACTGAGCTACCACGGCTCAGTCTCATAACAATCTAGTGGTGAAAGAATTCTCAAAGTTGGTCAAGTACTTTACGATTTTAGCGAAAAAAATATTCTTTGATAGTAGCGCCCTCAATAATAAAATGCATCCTACGTTTTTAAGCACCATAGCAAAAAACGATTCAACATAGCCTAACCCGCACACACAGTAAAAACATAACAATCCTTTTTCGTCTGTAGTCGGATAAACAACTGGTTAATAACGGTTGCGTATCGGCTGCTTTGGATAAATATGCATTGTCAACGGTTATTTTAAACCTATATCATAACATCGTAATAATTATCGAAAAATTATATAAGCATTGTAATAATGACACCATAAGTAATCGATGGAAAAGGGGAATCGATTTTTTTAATGAGATTTGTGATTGGCAACACTTTTTATTTTATTCACAAACTAATGAATTAATGATTTACCTAATTTTAATCTTATCTTTTCGGTACTTTTAATTTGTGCGAAAATATTCCCATTGTTTTAGGATAAATGAATATCGCGATTAATAATCATAAATAAAGATATATTTTTTTAACAAATGCACATTGTTGGGCGTTCCATGGCCGAAAATGGGCGATCCCCTTTACATTTGTTGTGTGCGTCAACGGTTTGTGCCAATATAATTCTTTCTTTTAATTTTTTTTTTCTTGTAATAACTACCTTGAAAAATTCTGTGTCGACTATTACTTAAAATGTCATCTTAGATTTCTAAAGAAGAATTGTAAGCTTTACTAACTGAAAAACTGTTGTTCTAGTTATTAAGTTCCTATTTTTATGTTACATTTCGTAATGGAGGCCTGTAACGTACTTCTTAACTGTGATCAATGCTTGGTGTTACTTAAATATTTTAATAAAAAAAGTGAAAAACAAAAATTGTTTTTTATTTTATTTATTTATCTCAAAACAAATAAACACAAGATAAATCGTAGTAAATTTAGACTTAACGCTTCTGAGCCGTTCCTTTGTTTGACCATTACGTTCTGGAAAAAAAAATGGTGTCTATAATTTCTTACGTGCTTATTTATAAGTCGTAAAGTAAAGGGAGATCGCCAGCGATTGTAAGTACCGGATGAAGACTTAACTTACTATCGATAGCGTAATGCGTGCAGTAATGTTATGTGCACGTGGTAATACTTCAACAAATTGTAATTGAAAGCTTCTTTTAGAGAATAGGGCTGGGAATGAACAATTGCCCACTCAAATCGCCTCATTCGCGAGTCAGCTGCCTATGCCCTCTTCACACACGCTATAGTGTGCGCAGGCCGAGAAACTCTCGGAACCCCCCCCCCCAACAAGCTTTCGGCTGACCTGAACTGCCTCCTGGTGGCTCAGGCCAACTTAACACATCTCATAATCTGCCTTAGACACACTTCTAAGCGGCTACTCGCCGCTTGCGCCCTCCTTTCTCCCAAGAAGGGTCGCGTCCGTTTATGGCTTAAAGATGTCTCGTCAGATCGTTAAGCCAATCCCAAAAGGTGGTGTTTAGTGAGTAAAAGCCTCCACATAACCACGCAGCCGGCTGCGTGGTATGCTATGAGCATTCAACACCTCCCTCCCCCGTTACCGGAGGGTTGCTATTATTTGCTTCGGGCGCAAAAAAATGAACAAGTGTTTGTACTTATTTACAATTCAGTAATTTTAATCATACATGATGTATGTCGAAAACAATTATAGTGGTAAAGTCTATTAAATGTTGTAACAGGAGACTTAAGAGACAAGAGTTTCGTATAAAGTAAAAGTAAAGTTACAGCCTATATACGTCCGACTGCTGGGCTCAGGCCTCCCCTCATTTCTAAGTGGGTTTAGGGCAAGGAAGTGTCCGCCGCGCTGCCTAAATGCGTGTTGACGAATTTCACATGTCTTCGAAATATTTTTTTTCTTATTCCTCAGACATGCAGGTTTCCTCACGATGTTTTCCTTCACCGCCGAGCACGTGGTAAATCAGCACTTAAAATTGCAATTAACGATTTCATTGGTGCCGGCGGGGATCGAACCCGGGTTACTCGCGTTCTGTTCTATTTACAGCGAGCGTTAACCACTGAGCTACCACGGCTCTTTAGAGTTTCGTATAGAAATAATTATTAGGCGAAGTGAGTTGAACAATGGATACGACCATAATATTGTAATAATTATGTCTATGTTATCTCTATATTAAAATTTCATTAGATTTATTTCTTGTATTTTACGATATCTGCATAGCATATGGCGCTGAAAGTCTTTTCTCGAAACAAAAGATGAAACACTGCAAAATGAAATTGTTTGTTTTACTTTCATACAGAATAACTACCCGCTATAATAACTAACCTCTAACGTACTTTTTTCACCGTGTAGTGGTGGCATAAGAGAATTCACTAGCGCATACCATGCCGTGGGTGTCTTAAGAGGCGATAGAGGGAAACTGAATTAGGAAACGGGCAGCAGTATCATCCGTGATAACAAATAAATAAAACACTGCGATTTATGATAATACGCTTGCCAAGTGTGGCCGTGGCAAAGAATACTACTACTACTTTGTGTTCTGTGGTGGCAACTTTGACAAAATATCCACTCTATTAGACAATTTATGGAGGCCTATATTCAGCAGTTGACGTTTGATAGGCTGTATAGTGAACGAAAAAAAAAAATGACGACTACTGTATATTATCTCAAGCAGTGTGCAACTTAAGGAAAAACAGTAATAGGGTACAAGACTCAGTTCTGAGGCTGAAGGAGCGAGCTGAGCATCGCAAACTTTTTATGGATTTCATATAGCTCAAAATTCATTGTATGTCTTTGACATTTAAATTTTCTCACAATATTTTCCTTCACAGTCATTGAAAATTTGTGTCAAACTTAAGGTTAAATGCTCACCTATGATCTTAAAACAAGACCGCCATAATTGACGGCAACTAATGAGGCGTTCCATCGTCGTCATCGGGGATGACAACGTATCTGTATTTTGATTCCTAATACTTTTTTTATAAGGGTGAACAACGAGCTCACAGTCCACCTGATGCAGATACGTTGCCTCCACTGAGGACTAAGATGGAATGTCTCGTTTCCAATAAAAATGGCACTGATCTGCTATTTCACGCCGGTATTCTGTGAGAGCGTGGTCCATCCCGGTCGAGCCAAACATTCGTGTTACTATCGTAATATAGCTGCAGCAATGCTCTTTCTCGTAGAATGAATGTAAGCAAGCAAAGCGCACGTGTCAATGGCTGATAGCGAATCTTCGCAATCGTGACATCTTAGATAAAGTATAGGGTTATGAATAATGATGATATAGTTACCATAATGTCAGGGTACACGTTAGACCTTGGCACATAGACTGCGTTTTCGCAAACGCCTCTCGATGAACAGGTTCCTACAACGTTACGCGATATGCAAGGTCCGAACGGCGGCCATGCACGCATTTGCACAGTCCTACACGTGCCGCGGTTGCATAGCCGTATAGATACATTCGCTACCAGAAAAAAAAAACATTCGTCTTTAGTTGCTTCCTTAACTCTTTTGTTCACTGTCGAAAATCTTTTTTCAAAGACATGTTAGCAAGTATGTATTCTTGAAACAGAAGACCATAAAAATAATAGCCATCTGCGCAGAACAGGATTATAATGCTCGAGTGTATGCGTAAGCACAGGTACACTCTCAGTTCACTCGCTCTCGTAATCCGATGGGACGGCAATCCGACACGACCCGACGAGCTCAGACATGACTCTGAGTGCTACTGAGAATTTCTTGGTAAAAAATTTAATAAATGATTCTTGGGCCGACGGGATTCGAACCCGGTACTCCATGATTAACAGTCGCATTAACGACCACTAGATTAATGAGATAGTGAAGAGAAGCCCATGACATGACATGACTCACCATACTGTTTATATTATACAAAATTCATTACCTATATCAATATCTTTGCACTGGTAATGCCTATCACCGGCCTTTCAGGTTTGGGTTCGGTATTTTTACTAAGTTTTTACGTCATTAGTCGGTCATTAGAGGCTCGATGCAGGAACATCCGTTGATGCTCAGTTTATAGTATCGGTAAACGTTTTAATCCATAGAACAGGATAGAATCCTGTCAAAAAAACAGGATAGAACCATATCCAGCTGTAATTTTTTTGAGCTTACTATTAAATATTATTAAACTTCTCAGTAGTAGTCAAGTCCATATTTCGACATATCTCCAGGGTTCAAGGTCTCTACAGTCGGATGATACGGTATTAAAGAGGATGTCTTTGTGTTTGTGTGTACTCTTTACAAGTTCACTGCTGAACATAGGCCTCCCCCAAGGAATACTACAATGCACGGTTCTGAGCATCCTACATCCATCGAACGGCGATGGCAGCAGAGTTAGTGGTGGGAAATGTCCCAGGTGTCCAGAAATGTCTGGAACTGCGATCGTTTATCTGTTTTACAGTTAAGGCAACAAATTATCTCTGCAACCGAAGAGACTCATATTCAACCGTGGAGTTTACGAGCTAATGATGAAGACAAGGAAGATTTGAATTTTTTTAAAACTTACGTCCTACGTAGGCGTCATCGGGCCAGTCGTCGGGCAGCCCTCGCGTAACCAATGCCTCGCGGGCCGCAAACTCTGCGCCCACGCACTTACCCCCACTAGAGCCGTCGCTCCGCCGCAGCCGGCAGCAGATGCCGCACATGTTGCCCTCTCCTATAACGCCTCCCTTGAACAGACCATTAAGATTCTTATTCTTACCACCATCCTTCACAGTTACTACCTTCGGTAAATCTTCGCTTTAGGGAGTATGAAAGATCTTTGATAGAAAACAAGCAAGTCAAGGAAGTTTTGCATGACAAAAGCTTCCAGGCCCGTAGCTACGTCACATTGAACAAGTGAAGACGGCCACAGTCGAGCGTGTGCCTGATGTACTGCCAATGTCAAAAGTGTCACTAATAAGTTTGGCTAACACCTTGAAGCGAGCTTACATTAAAACATACTCCAAACCGCCGAAAAAGATTAATCGGTTTTTACCATCAGTCAAGTGTAAAGTTAATCCCTCTCCTGCAGAGTGTGCTTAATTGTGAATGTGGCTTCTCTTACATTAGACAAAAGATCAAAAAAATTCAAGTAAAAGAAAACATAGCTGATGTTAAGGGAAGTTTGCAGTATGTGAACATGTACAGTGTCGCCTCCGTCACTACATCAGATTTGATAAACCGCTTATTCTCGCTGAAGAACACCGATTTTTTTCAAGAATGATTTGCAAAGCTATTGAAATAAGAAAACTTCCTCATTTCCATATGATTTTATTTTATTCACCGTAGGATCCCATTTGCTTAGGATCCTACGATTAATAAAATTAAATCCCAACCTAAGCAAACAATTGCAAGACTTCAAGATACTACAAGCTCAGCAAAAATTAATAATTTTAAACTGAAGGTAAAGGTTAAATATGACAATGTGACATCGAACGCCTCTGTTCCCCGAGACCATAGACGCTATAAAGTAGTCGGAACTTCGGGAATTACAATAAGTTAAAAAATATTTATATATATATATATATATATATATATATATATATATATATATATATATATATATATATATATTAGTTAGTTGTAGTTATCATTAGTTACTACTTTCGCGGTACTTACTCGTACAAAAAGCTCAGTTTTACTGAATCATGGGGTCACAACCACTTGGTTAGCATATTTTTAGCATTATCACAATATTATACTTTTATACACGGTAGAGCAATGACGCAGCTATATTATGGTTGTCGTACGAATAGATCGGCTCGACCGGGGAAGGACCACATTCTTAAAGAATACCGGCGTGAAATAGCAGCTTAATTCTGTTGTTTTTTCTTATGGTGAGTGTGGAAACGAGGCATTTCATCTTAGGTACAGATATGACAGCGCGTCTGCACTTTAATTCTTAATCGAGAATAGATTTAGATGTCTGTGGGCCACAGCATTCAAACATTATCAGGTGGATTATGTGCTCGTTTGTTCTTAAAAAATCCGCATATTCTTTAATACTATTCTTTATCTAAAGCTGAAGTAACAGAATCAACCTCATTTAGCACGTATTCAAACCAAACAGTTGCGTTGTCGCTCGTCACCTCTCGAGCTCAAAGCAAAGGAGTGGAAATTTTTTTTTCTGTGTGTGTCTTTCCTTCTGATTACATTATAATAAAACCTTTATATTTCAGAAATAACATCCAAATGGCTTCTAACTTATGGAACTTTTAGATACTCACCATCGCCGAGCACAGACAAATAGGCACGAGTATGAACACGTGAACCCCTTATTCGGATATGCTTGCTACTCGACCCGGGTGCTCGCCTGTTCTACACTCGATGTCGGTTTTTTAGCACCAATCAAAGGATTCTACGTGTGTATTCGTATCAGTATTTACTTAATCGTAATTTTTCAATTGACTAATCCACCGTTATTATATTTTCTAATACCTTTCATTGACAAAATATGTAAAAAAATATAAATAGGTTTTCGGTTCAGCTGAAATTAAGAATTTCACAAGAAGACTACTTTTTCTCTATATTCTACATTTCATAATACTATTTCTCTACTGCTGTATTTTCTTCTTTTTTTCATTAAAATATTAGTAAGTCTATAAAATTAAAATAGACAGAATGTCGTAGCAACGAAGCGTACTTATTCATGTTTATAAAAATCTACGTTGGATGAATACAGACGAATACGTTAACGCGTCGTACTCGTTCACGAATAACTCTGCGAGTTATTCAGAAAGTTGTTTGTCCGATAATAATCTAAACGTTCCATTAATCTATAATTACGCAGAAACTACGGTTGATATTAATCACCGAAATAAATGTTTACATATATGTTGTCTAAGCAAATTACCTATTTTTTTGTTTGCTTGCTTATAATCGCATCTGAGCCATCCGTGCGAGTTCTGCGAACATGCCCTATGCGCTACAAAAGCAATGCAGCCTTTGTAACTTGAAATTGTTGTACTGTATTTTTTAAGGCGCTGCATACCTTCTGCACAGTCTAAAGCGCTTATTACATTATACAATTTTTAGGAAATCTAATTAGGAAGTAGGAAGGTGTAATCGTAGTTAGAACAGTTAGGATCCGATTTAGTCAAATTGGAGGTCCCAATCGCTCTAATTTCTAAATTGTTTACAATTTAGGACAGTGTAATCGAACATTACGATTTAGAACAACCAGTCGGCGTCCGCGCTTTGATACAAGCGGATGTCTTGAAGTTTTGATAGAAGTCTGATATCAGAGAGCAGTACTTTAAATCTTAATATTAATTTCCGGTGGCTATAAAACGTAATGTCACCATCAAACATTCTTTGGTACCCACACTTTATCGAAATATCGTGACTTCTTTTTCAATATGTTTAGATACCAAACTTAACAAATAATCAAACTGTTTTATAGGTGGTAGAGCCATGACGCAGTTATATTAGTAGTATAGTTGTAGCACGAATGGTCGGCTCGACCGAGGAAGGACCACGCTGTGTTTCGTATGGCGAGTGTAGAGAACCGGAGACCCTTTTTACTGGAAACGAGGCATTCCATCTGCATTTTGATTTGTAATCGGAGATAGATGTAGATGTCCATTGGTCGCAGCAATCACTTACCATCAGATGGACTGTGTGCTAATTTGTCACCCTATCCTATAAAAAAAACTGCTTATAATTTAAAAATATATAATTATATTATTATTGGACAGTTTTTTTCTCAATGACAAGTACTCTTTTCTCTTTTTTTAATATCCATTGTTCCCACCACGGCTAAGACAAGTCCTATTTTCTGCTGTTTTGATAAATACGGTGCCATCGATCAAACGTGCAACCCCGTCGATACTTCTTTACTATTGCGCTTCGTCACGATTTAGAATTCAATTTAGTGTAATGTGATCACTAGCTTCCAATTTAGGTTCCTAATTAGATTTTCTAAAAATTGTATAATGTAATAAGCGCTTAACTTTTCAGTATATATAAAAGTACTCTGTAGTCTAAGTACTACTGACAGTTCGGACATCGAAGTTGCCTAGACGGGACGATCGTGTGGTGCGGTGCGAGGTGAGACGCGGGCGAAGCTGTCCGTTTAGGGTTGTTCTGTCATGCAAATAAATTAAAATGGTTCACACTACATTTGCGGTAAAAACTGGGTTGTCCTCATTTAATGATAAGGAATTAAAAAAATAGTGCTAAATAAGTTGTTATTATTCAAAAGTACTTTATAAACTTGTGTATGTTGTATTCTACAGTTGACTATTTTTTATAATATATAATTTTTGTAACTGCTTATTATAACCTGCTTTTATTATTTTTGAACATTAATTATCTGATTAAGTTATTTAATTTGTTTAAACGTGAAATAAAGTAACGTAAGTTATTTTATTTTTTTATAACTTCCCGTTCTGACAACCCTAGAAATTTATTGTTTATGTCGGCTTTTCCGACAACCTCAAACGCGATGATTGACTGATGACTGTGTGTCCTTCTTAGGCTGTACTTTCTGCACGTAGTTGAGCATAGATTGTCGGTATAAAATGTAAACTGTAAACACTTTATGCTGGGATACTTTTAGTTGGTTATATACTAATTACCGTTCCTCTTTTTGGGCATCGACACTCTTGGAGTCCAAGCGTGGCGCACTCCGCGGCGTGGCAGGAGCCGTCTGGCAGGCACCGCCCGCCCAGACCACAGTGGCACACCGACGAATTCACACACTTGCACTCTTCATACTGCATACTGCAGTCCTGATGTAAAAAAGGCTTAATACACGTGTTTTTTTACAAGTTTTTTTTTATAGAAGAAGGGTGAAAAGCGAGCACAGTCCACTTAATGGTAAGTAGATGCTGTGGCCCATAAACATCTACATTTATCCTCGATTAAGAATCAAACGCAAATGCGTTGTCAACCCTAAAGAATAAGATATCTCGTTTCCAGTAGAAAGGGTCTACGGTTCTCTACACCCACCATACGAATACGAAACACCGCAGCATTAAGCTCCTACTTTACGCTGGTATTCTACACAACGCTATATCATCCTTTGTACTTCTTTGTATACAGAATGGGTCCCACATATATGCAATAAATGAAACCACAAGTAATACTAGTCCGTAGAAGTGTAGAAAAATTAAATATTAAATTAAAACCCGTAAAATAAAAAAGTGAAATTTTCAAACAAAATAAATATTAAAATAAATTCAGTAAAAGTGAACACTCTGTTTAGACAACGTATGTCGCAATACCAATAGTTTGCACTGCGTGGCAACGTCGCTTTTTAATGTTCAAGGATTCAAGTTCATTGAATCATTGACTTAGTGACCCAATTCTATAGAGTGTTCAAATTTGCTTAAAATTAAAACTCTACTTTTTAACCTAATTACTGGACCGATTACGTTCATTTTTTGTATATCGTCAGCAAAGGCGATAACAAGTATATGGTTTCATTTATTGCATATATGTGGGACCCATTTTGTATACTTGTTCATTTTCTGTCTAGAAAAAGCCCTTTTTTATTTTTTTAAAGAATATTAACAATACTATAAACATTACTAATATTCCCCTTAACCACTCGTGGTAAGCTTAAATTGACTTGTGTTACGAGTGGTTCACGCCAGTAGTCGAATGGTGGATTCGAATCCACGACGTTCGCGGTACGCGCCCTGCCAGTAGGATACTGTCGCTTAAAGAGACATTGAAATAACTCCTTTCCAGTCATAGGGTAGATTTGCCTTAAATGTCATGCTTGGCGGTCCATTGACTTCTATATATACAAGTACGCTGGACTGGCTATAATATACAAAATGTCTGTGCCGATTTGAAGCACCACCATTTTCCTTATCGGGAACTAAAATTGACATAATATGCCAGTATGTTGTCTTATTTAGATCTTATCTCTTGTATTTTGAACTAAAAATACAAAAGTATTCTGTGGTTTGATTGTGTATAATTTTCGTTACATAATAATAATAATTTTAATAATAATGAGAGTGTGCGTAATCTGTAAAACTCGTTACCAAAAGGAAAGTGGTATAACATTCTACACTTAAGTGAATTTACAGCTAATATTAAACAAATTAAAATAATACATACATAAACACTCACGCCTGTCACCCAAGGTAGGCAGATACTGCGGACTTCCATTTGGCACGATCCTGACATACCTCTTTCGCCTCCTTTACATCCATATATCTACGCATACATGCTCGTCGGTTAAGGGTACTTCTAACGTGGCCCCTTTTCAAAATATCGCCAATTTGGTCGATAAATTTTCGCCTAGGACGTCCCTTTCCGACTCTGCATTCACTTCTGCACCACAAATTTTCTTTGTCACTCTTTCCTCATTAATTCTTTCTACTTGACCAAACCACCGAAGCATTCCTTTCTTAATCCTGGTCACAACATCATCTTGCATACCACATTTATCTCTTATCATGCAATTTCTCACCCTGTCATTCAAATTCAACCCTAGAATACTCCTTAAAGACCGCATTTCTACAGGATTTATTCTACTTTCGTGCTTCTTCTGCCACACCCAGCTTTAACTACCATACATTAAAGTAGGGACTAACCACAGCATTATGAATTACCATACGTACCTTTATTTGACACATTCTGGTTCTTCATAATAGAGTGTAGTGCCCCATTCACTCTATTCCCTACATTTACTCGTCGTTCTATATTCCTATCATATCTACCATCCCTGCTAAATACACATCCCAAATACACAAACTTTTCCACTTGCTCAATTAACTCTCCTTCTATTCTTATTTCACATACCGTTTTGCTTTCTTCTCTTTCAAAAACCATCACTTTCGTCTTACTTGCGTTCACTTTCATTCCCCTTTCTTTTAATTCCCAGTTCATTAATGTAACCATCATTTGCAACTCAGCCGCCGATGACGCAAATATGACTTGATCATCGGCATACAAAAGGTATTTGACGGTTAACTCGCCCATTCTTAACCCACATTCTTCATCTTTCAAAGTTTGCAAACACCTGTCCATAAATAGGTTGAACAGCCAAGGGGAAGCTACACAGCCCTGTCTGACACCTTTTTGGATGCCAAACCAGACCGAGTAGACCCCATTGATCCTGACACAAGCACTAGAGTCCCTATAAAGAGACCTTAATGCCTGTATCAAACCAGCGCTCAACCCATATGAGTTCAGTGTTTGCCATAACACATTCCTGTCTACTCTGTCATAAGCCTTTTCCAAGTCCATGAACGCACAAAAAACTTTCTGGTTTTTGGCCAAAAACTTCTCCGCAATCATGCGCATGGAAAAGACTTGATCTTTACACCCCATTCCCTTTCTAAAACCCGCTTGCACATCCCAAATTTTTCCATCAGTTTCTTTCATAACTCTTTCAATTAACACCTTAGCATACAGTTTACCCACAATACTAAGCAAGCTGATACCGCGGTAGTTTTTGCAGTCCTGCTGTGACCCTTTTCCTTTATATATTGGTACTATAACTGCTTTACACCAGTCATCCGGTACCCGTTTTAATTCCCAACATAAATTAAACAAGGTGTACAGCAGGCCTGCCACCACTCCCTCTCCAGCCCTTAGCATCTCGAGTGATACTCTATCATATCCAGCTGCCTTACCTGCTTTCATGCTTTTCATTGCTTTCATTATTTTATCTACACTTATCTCCATACCCCTTTCCACTTCTTTCGGAATTTCTAGTTCATTTAATTCAGACGACTCTTCACTCATAAACACGCTTTCAAAGTATTCCTTCCATCTGTTTAAATTCGAAGCTTTATCATTCAGAATACATCCATTCTCGTCTCTTATAGCATTTATTATAGGCTGTTTTGTATTTCCCCTGGCAGTTCCTACGAGTTTCCAGAACATTTTTATGTTAGCCTGGAAATTATCAGATAACCTTCTATCATTCTTATCCGTTCTTTCTTTCTTTTTCCTTTCAACAACTTCTTTTACTCTCTTATTTAGACGTCTAAATTCTGCCTTTTTTCTTACAATCTCATCATTCATACCAGAAGAATTACCAGCTTTGGTTGCTAGTAAATCTAACCATGCTTTCTTCTTTGATTCAACTTCCACCCGTACCTCATCATCCCACCACAACGTATTACTTTTCCTTTCATTTGTTCTCTTACTTACACCACATACTTTAGTGGCGGCATCCAAACAAATTAAAACTATTTTATAATATGTATAGGTACTTAAAAATTTGTTATAAATCTTAATATCGTAATTACCAACATGTTTGGCTTTATATTACTGAAATTTGATAAACAATAAAATTTAATAGGTTTGTCGAGTTACTGTACTTGTTAATATTTATCCATGTTCTTTCCTACCCAATCTGTTGACAACCGAAGTTGCCGACAACAGATAATTATCAAATGTTTATTAATTAACAGGTTTCCAACTGAACCCAGATCAAAATTATGGCTTAAAAGCGTAAATATTGTGAATTGGCGTCCGAAACAAAATGATCATCTTTGTTCTAAACATTTCACAGACGACTATTTTATTAGAGATGAGAAACGCACCACTTTGAAAAACCGACAGTATTTCTGATAGTATCAGTACCAGTAAGTATAAAAGAATTGGATTATTATTTCGAATGTTCTATACTTCTTTTCTCATTTTCCCCACAACTCAAGGGCCATAGCCAAGTGTAGAAATGTCGCCTGATGATCACTTAGTGTTTACAAGAATCTGTTTAAATATGACTTATTTATGACATCAGGGGAATATCGGGACTGCAAAATTATTAATGTTCTTAGTGAGTTAACGTGAGTTTGCGTGAAAAATAGCTCCTCCCTGAAATGGTTCTCGCCTTGTCATGTGGGTTGCGGTTAGAGAAGTTTCGTCTCCCTGTACCACTAGCGATTGGCGATGCGCCACTCGACTATCCTCAGACGGTTCTTCACTGCTGGCCGTATATAAAAAAGACCTGAAGACGTCTTAAAATTGAATAGCGTTAGAGTATTTATGGGTACTAATTACATACTATTCCGCTTTTTGTGAGATCCGCATACTGGCAGTCCGCGTTGCAGCAGCTCCCTTGTGACGGATGGCAGGTAGCTGAGGGCGCCACAGAGCAGCCTTCCTTATGCAATGCTCTGTAAAAAAAGTATAATATTAATATCCTGCTATACGCTATTGACATAGAAATACGAGTTCGAATTGAAACCTTACTATGTACAAGGAGACTATCAATTGAACTACGTACACTCATGTATTGCTATATTTGGCCTGTCATACAACACGGATGCGAATCTTGGACTATGAAAGAAGATCTCCGTAAGAAACTGGAAGCAATTGAAATGTGAATGTATCGCCGTATGCTTCGAATAAGTTGGACAGACAAAGTTACCAACACCGAGGTCCTCAAGCAGATGAAAAGGAATAAGCCCCTACTTGTCAAAACTATCAAACAGAGAAAGATGCGTAACTAGGACACGTGCTAAGGCATGAACGTTACCAACTGCTGCAGACTATAATGATGGGCAAAGTAGTAACGGTAGTGTACGGGTAAAAGAAGTGTTGGTAGAAGGAAAATGTCCTGGCTCTGTAACATCCGGAAATGGACCGGGATAAAGAAAGTAGAAGATCTGTCTTCAGTAATGGAGAGGTACTTAAAGAAGAAGAAGATACTCTGCCATGTGGTTTTGCCGTAAGGAAGTCCTTTACTCTTTTTATAAAAGTAAGGTTCACTTATGAACATGCGGTCGAACTGATGGCAAGTTTATTTCTAATAGATGTAGGTGTCTCAGCTAATGTTGTAAGCTGTTATAATTTTAATTCATTTGCTATATTCGCTTCTTACGTAACTGCCCACGGAACAAAATGAGTAATCTCCTGATTTAAATTCATTATTTCCTGTATTTAAAAAGGTTCTGTTTCAAACCATCTCGTTTATACAGGACGTATACGTAGACCAGCCACCGGTAGCAGCGTTAATGGTGCGACACGTCTGTTACTGCGATCAACAATCCACCTACCGAAAGTGATGACTTAGGAAAATCCTCGCCACTATGGAAAAAACCCACTGATGATGCTAAAGTTAGGTTAAGGTGTAGGTGTAGGTGAAGGTAAAGTTTAGGGTGTCTATCATTGATTACCTACATCTATCATTGATTGGTACACCTAAGGACTGAATGAAATGCCACTTTACTAAAGGAGCCTTAGTACTCGTCAATTACCGCTCAAAACATCATGTATATGTGGCTGCGAGATTCGGGTACTTTTACTCGGTCGAGCCGACCTATGTATATCGCGTCATATCGGGCTTTAGTTAAGACTTAGTTAAGGCTTTAGAGAAGACGTAAGTACTTATATAACTGGAACAATTGGTTTTTACAGTCTCTCATTTTTGTACGAGGATACAGTCCACTTGATGGCAAATGGATGCTGTGGCTCATAGACACCTTCATCTGTTCTCGATTAAGAATCTCAATGCAAATGGGTTGTACATCCTAAGGGGGTTTATTGCCTATAAAAAAGTATCCGGATCTTATCACTCATTTTACGAAGCAGCATTATTGTATTACATTTTACCAGGGTACTTAAGGGACTGTGAACGCCAATTCTTTTCTTTAGCGCAGGGAAGCTGCTTAAGCTGTAAACTATTTACAGATTAAAGTAGATAATCATACCCTTCTTCGTAAATAAGCGCTCCGCCAGCTCTTGGCGTGCAACACGGGTCTCTGTTGCTGCAGTGAGAGGGCAGACCGCAGTCGCATGCCTCTCCTTCTTCGACTATACCTGCATACACACACAAAATTATATACAGGGGGCTTAAGGCGCTAGCCCTAGCGAACGACCTTGAACGTTCGGTCCTTAACAATCCATGCGATCTCGCTACAATACATCGCGTAAGAAATACGCCCAAATTTAGGAATTATCTCAATCAAAAAAGAAAAGCGAACTTAAGAAATTAAATACAACGTGAATAATATAGATTTTTAAATTATCTATCCATTAGTGTAATCCTCAAATGAATGAGGATGCAGCGTTGTCTTTAGCAACAGATGCATGTAATCAATAATTTTAGTCATTTTTTAAAAGTTGATTTTAAATGTATTTATAACACATAAAAACAAATTAGAACGTGGAATGTGATGATAGGATATCGAACATTAATAATGTGCTTTTAGATGTAGTTTATTTCTCATAACTAATGAGATAATAGTCTCTGAAAAACGCACTATCGCAAGGTTTTGGTTGGGGTATTGCCTTAAGTTGAAATGGTATCAATTAGTACGTCCATAAATATTTTAGTATCCCCGTTCAAATTAATTTGGGTTGCGATGATAGATCACTACTAACTACCTAATAATTTTTTTTTACATCACTTCGGTGTAAACAGGAATTCGCTCTAAAATAAAGTCTCGTGGATCAGAAACTGCTTTATTATAAGTCTCCTCGTTGATTTAGTAGTTGCAAACGCGGTTGTTGACCATGAGGTCCCAGCTTTGAATTCCTGGTCGGGCCAAAATCAGTTATTGGGTTTTCTGTCAAAAAATTCTTAGTAGCAACCCGGAGTTAGAAAGTTGGCGGTGTTTCTCGTGCCTCGGAAAACGTAAAGTCGTTGGTCCTGCGCCTGATCTCTCTCCGGTCATGTCAAATTACCGTCCCATTAGACTATGAGAGTGAGGGAATAGAGCGTGCACCTGTGCATGCGCATACGCTTGGGCACTATAATCCTGTCCTGCGCTGATGGTAAATTTTCGTCGAGACGGCCTCAGTTAATCTGGAGGAATACACTTGGAGGACTTATATAATAAGTCCTTATGGGTGGGGGTACTCGTAAATGTCCACATCAGTCTCTACTGGGACCATCATCACGGACAGGACTATTCTTACAAATAAGCCTAAGACTGTTGAGAAGGGCGGGCACAGAACAGGACATTAAAGTCGACATTATCCCCCAGCTGTGAGAGCCGTGGTAGCTCAGATAAAGTAAATTTAACAGTACGCGAGCAAACCGGGTCCGATCCCCGCCGGCACCAATGGAATTGTTAATTGCAATTTTAAGTGCTGATTTATCACGTGCTAGGCGGTGGAGGCAAACATCGTGAGGAAACCTGCATGTCTGAGAAATAAGAAAAAAAATATTTCAAATTATGTGTAGTTCGCCAACAATAATTGGGGCAGCGCGGTGGACACTGCTTTTCCCTAAAACCCTCTTAGAAATGAGGTGAGGCCTGTGTCCAGCAGTGGGACGTATATAGGCTGTAACTTTAACATTTTCTAACTTTTTATCCTCCATATTTGATGGCTCGTGAGGTGACCGTCATGTGGGACGTTCTGCCCACCGAAATTATTCATTTCTGTGAACAGATTAATTCCTGTCAACAGAGACCAGTAGGACTCTGTAACGGATTGCTTCGGGCTTAAACGCAAAAGATAGTGCTCCTCGATACGGCCCGCATCATGGCTCTTTTTGAACCAAGTCGGTTTTTTATCATATTTTGACTACTACCACTTTAATAATAAAAACAAATTATAGTAAGAAAAATAACAATCGATTGTTTTTATATCCTTAAAGACCCCCTATTATTGCCAAAGACGAGAAGTGGTCTTTACATGGGACGTCCAAATAACACATTGTTGAAGAAACGTTTTATACGTGGTAGAGCCATGCTGCAGTTATATTAGTGGTAAAACGTTTTATACGTGGTAGAGCCATGCTGCAGTTATATTAGTAGTATACTTGTAGCACGAATGGGTCGGCTCAACCGGGGAAGGACCACGCTCGAACAGAATGCTAGCGTAAAATAGTAGCTTAATGCTGCTGTATTTCGTATGGTGAGTGTAGAGAACCGGAGACCCTTTTTACTGGAAATGAGGCATTTCAACTTAGTCCTCACGGGTGACAACGCATCTGCATTTTCTTTTTAATTGAGGATAGATGTAGATGTCTATGGGCCGCAGCAACCACTTACCATCAGGTGGACTGTGTGCTCGTTTGTCACCCCATTCTATAAAAATAAATAAAAAAAAACGATATTGTACTTAGTCCCCGGTTACGTTACCGTTACAGCCTATTAAAGTCCACTGCTGAACATAGGCCTCCCTATAGATTGCCTCAAAGCGTGGGGTATTTCCATAGTTGCCACGCTTGGCAAACGGGTTGGCAACCACTTTTATGTTAGTAGGAAGACGCCGCTGCCCACCTCCTGATTAGTTTCCCTCTGTCGCGTCTTACGACACCCACGGGATAAAATGGGGTAGTGGATATTCTGACACCGCCACTACATGTTATATGTCCATTCCATTTTTATTTGGCTTAAATGTTGCCATGCACGCTAAAGTTTTTATAAACAACAGCCATCAGATACTTAACATCGGACATAAATGCAGTGATGGTTAAGAAGAGATCAAGAATAAGATCTTTTTAGTGTTTCCACTAGTTGTCTCCTACGACTTCTAAGGGGTGAAATGAGCTGATTGTTTAATTTTTATCGTTAGTTGGACTTACGAGTTTATACTTATTATTTAAAAAAAAATTATATTACAAGACAGAATATAAGGTAAGAAAGTTAAATAAAAACGGGGGTAGTTATCAGTTTCTACGTACCATTGCCACAGTAAGGTCTGTCCTGCTCGATGAGGCAGTAGCTCATGCTGCTGAGCGTTGCTGCAATGAGACGTTTGCTGCACAGCGAGAATTCCAGGTTGTGGCCGTTTTCAGTCGTCGAGGATTGAGAGCTCATCAGATAGCCATGACATTCAGGGTTCGGGAAGTTGTCGTCGTGATGAGCACCAAAACTGTGACCTATTAATACATTTGTTTCGTTAAAGTAAATTAACAGCCTATATTAGCCACACATTTTTTATACATTGATGGTCTTCTCATTTTATTTATATTGAAGTCGGTTGTACAAAATTTTTAATTTTACCACTTGTTTTAACCTTAGATTAAACCCGAGACTATCGACAATCTATGTTTTGTAATAAGACGGAAGGTGTTCATGGAGGTGTGCCAACCGCTTCTAGTGGTTACCTCCGCATAACTGTATATGATAGATTTGTCCCTGTGCCAGCCTATCACATGATAGAATATAAACTTGGTAAAGCCACGCTGCAGCTATATTATGGTTGTAGCACGAATGGGTAGGCTCGACCGCGGTTAAACCACGCTCTCACATAATACCAGCGCAAATTAGCAGCTTAATGCTGCTGTGTTTCGTATGGTGTTTGTAGATAATCGCGGAGACCCTTTTTACTGAAAACGGGGCATTCCATCCTAGTCCTCAGGGGTGACAATGCATCTGTATTTTGATTCTCAATCGAGGATAATTGTAGATGTCTGTGGGCCACAACATCCACTTACCATCGGGTGGACTGTGTGCTCGATTGCTATCCATATCCTATAAAAAATATCATACTGCTAAGAAATCTAGAGGAATTTTAATAAAATCCATATTCGATGTAACAATTATAGGACGAGACAAGAGAATATTTATTTATTTACTCTTTAATGTACAACAAAATACATAATATGGAGTACAGTTAAATCTAAAGTAGAATATGTAAAGGATTTAAAAGATTATGTTTTAAAAGTTAGGTGCTTTATTGATTGTGCACAAGACGTTCTAGAACTTTGGAAAGGAAAGGCAAAATAGAGATAGATCTATAATCAGAAAAACTAATGGGATTTGTCTTTTACATATACATATAGACTAAGACAAGACTCAGACACAAATAATTTGTGTTTTTGTACAAGTACTGGCTTAAAATCAGAGACCCGTGGCTTATCGCATAGACTTGTAATATAATCGTAAAATAAACAAGACTGGTGCTTTTATCATACTACACTTATTTCTCACATAAAAAAGTTATACGTAAATATATATTCCGATTTCTGCTTCCGACAATCTACTAACCATATTATAAGAAAGATGGCGTCCTTCCTCAATGCTTAATGTTTGTTTAATCGGTATTTAAGTTAAAACATTTAAAGTGGAAGTTGGTTTGCGCAGATTCTTTTTTTTACTATTGTATACATCGATTGACTGCCTCGTTGGTCTGGTGGTTATAGTAGTGCGACTGCTGATCATGAGGTCCTGGGTTCGTATCCCGGGTCGAAATCAATTAAAGGGTTTTTCCGTCAAGAAATTCTCTGTAGCTGCCCGGAGTCAGGAAGATGACGGTGTCTCAGCCCCGTTCCTCGGAAAACACGTAAAGCTGTTGGTCCTGTGTCTGATCTCTCTCCGGTCGTGTCGGTTTATCGTCCCATCGGACTATGAGAGTGAGGGAATAGAGAGTGCACTTGTGCATGCGCATACACTTGGGCACTATAATTCTGTCCTGCGCCGGTGGCTAGTCTCCGTTGAGGCTGGCTGCCATGACCGATATTCGGTCTGGAGGACATTATTATACGTCGATTGTTTATAGTATTAACACTTATCACTGATTACTTAATTAATAAGAAACCAATAGGGCAGCAAGAATGTACCGCACTACCCTCACGTTTCGTCTATCTAAAGCAATCCTAAAATCTTCTAGTAAATACACATCTGGTCTCAAGTTACACAACTCAATTTGATGCTTTCTATCTATTTATATCACGTCATTTTACCCATTTCATGAGCGAGGGTTAGCGCCGCTATACGTTCAGGCACGCGCTCGTTGTCATCAGCGGTAGCGTGCGCCAGCGCCAAGGTGTTGAACGAGCGGCCATACGCGCGCCGGTCACATAAACCACCAGCTGCGCCGCCCATGCCACCGCCTAGTGACGTGAAACTGGGGCGAAACAAGTCTGCCATAAGTTTTTTCTTGACAACTCTTTGAACCTAGAACCTTTCCTCCCTAAACATAACAATAGGTCTATGCTATAATTTGGGCATTCATCGCTGAACTAAAGCTAAGTTATTTCTTTTGATCCTTTTGTAGAGTATTATAAATATGAGTTATGACATCTTAAAACGTATTAGTATTCCAACTCAAGTGCGATTTAGCAATTTGGGACACTCAATGCAGCTACCTACGTCACTTGAGTTGCACTCAGGTTTTCGCATCTGTTTTATTTTTAGACTAAAAAGATAAACCGACTTACGCATTCGAAACAAACGGTTTGCTTCATCGTTCGTCATGTACAGCAAAGGAATGAAATAATTTGTTTCCATCCAATTACAATGTTCAAGGTAAGAGTGAATAGCATTTTGATAAACTAAGTCTGTGCATTTTTCCATCTTCGGCTGCATTACCACACTGTCAGATGAGATGGTAGTCAAGCACTATCTTAGAAAGATTGAAAAGAAATCAAACGTTGCGTGTATTTAAACGTATTTTTAATCGTGCAAACCAAGACCAACAATGAAAGATAAACGGAACGTTTCGCACATTTCACGTGATGCTGACGGTGACGAACCATGCTTAACGTCTTGACACGCAATCGCGCATGCATCTTTTTCATTTTCTACTCTATCAGTTTATAAAAGTTTTTTTTTTTTGCGCCCGAAGCAATTAAAGGGCTACCCTATACGTAGGGAGGCGGAAAATGCATTACGCATACCACGATAGCCGGTCTATCGTGGTTATGAGGGGCTCACTGTCCTACCGGGGACCCTAAGTGATACCCTCTAAAAACCGCCTTTGGGGACAGGCAACCGGCTGATTAAGCTCTATTGTGCCTTATCATGAGCGACCCTCTTTTGGGAAAAGAGGGCGCAGGCGGCTAAGTGCCGCTGAGGGAGTGCCTACGAAGGCAAATTAATGTTGGATATTACAATAATTTTATTTAATTAGAGTTGGCCTGAGCCGCCTGGAGACAGTTCAGGTCGTTTGAAAGTTTATTAGGCGGGTCCGAGAGAGAGTTTCTCGGCCTGCGGACACGATAGCGAGAGGGGCGTGGGGCTGCATAAGAAGCTGCCTCACGAATTAAATGGTTTGGGTGCGACTCTGAGGCTTTGAAGAAGTTCTCAGAGAGTTTTTTAAGAAATTGTTGAATTGTTGGGAGCTCTAAGTCCCGATGAAGGTCGGCATTACGGACGTACCACGGTGCGTTCGCAGCTCGACGACAGAAGAGGTTCTGAACTATTTGGATTTCATTTAAAATGTTAGGGTTTGCGTGGGCAAAGACGGGGCCCGCGTAGGACATGACTGGTCGTATACATACCTTGTACAGGGTACGCTTGTTTCGAAGGGACATTTTACTGTGTCGGCCCAACATACTGTTGAGCCTACTCAGATAAAACCGTGCGTGACGGGTTACTCTTTTCACGTGGGGCTTGAAAGTGAGCCCTGTGTCTAGAGTGACACCTAAATATTTGGCGGACGTATGCCAGGGGACAGGGGTCCCTAGCATACGTATTCATCATCATCATCATTACAGCCCTTCACAAGTCCACTGCTGAACATAGGCCTCCCCCAAGTAATGCCACAAAGCACGGTCCTGAGCCACCTGCATCCATCGACTTCCTGCATGTCTTACCAGGTCGTCACTCCATCTAGTGGGGGGTCGCCCTACACTACGCCTACCGGTACGAGGCTGCCACTCGAGAACCTTTCTTCCCCATCTGTTATCGGTTCTTCGAGCTATATGGCCGGCCCATTGCCACTTCAGCTTACTAATCCGTTGGGCTATGTCGGTAACTCTGGTTCTACTGCGGATATCCTCATTTCTGAGTCTATCACGCAGAGAAACTCCAAGCATAGCCCTCTCCATAACTCGCTGAGCGACCTTAAGCGTCCTCATACGGCCAGCAGTGAAGGACCACGTCTCAGATCCGTAAGTCATCACTGGCAACACGCACTGGTTGTACAATCTAGTTTTTAGAGATTGAGGTATACCTGACGAAAAGATATGTCGTAATTTCCCGAACGCTGCCCAGCCGAGTTGAATCCGTCGATTGACCTCTCGGTCGAAGTTGGACTTACCTAGTCGGACTATTTGTCCCAGGTAAACGTACTCGTCAACAACTTCGAGCATAGTGCTCCCAACAACTACCGGCATAGGTGTGACATGGACATTAAACATGATCTTTGTTTTGTCCATGTTCATCTTAAGACCTATCCGTTGGGAGGCACTATTGAGGTCATTGAGCATAATGCTTAAGTCCTCCAGTGATTCTGCCATAATGACTATATCGTCGGCAAATCGAAGGTGAGTGATGTACTCGCCATTGATGTTAATACCGTATCCTTTCCAGTCCAGTAGCTTGAAAACGTCTTCCAACGCAGCGGTGAAGAGTTTCGGGGATATAACATCACCCTGTCTTACACCTCTCTGCAGTTGGATAGGTTTCGAACTCTGGTTCTGTACTCGGATAGCCATCGTAGCCCTACTGTACAAACACTTCAGCACTTCGATGTACCGACAGTCAACTTGGCACCGCTGAAGGGACTGTAGCACCGCCCAAATTTCGACGGAATCAAAGGCTTTCTCATAGTCCACATATGCCATGCAAAGTGGCAGATTGTACTCTTCGGTCTTCTGTACAATCTGCCGCAGGGTATGTATGTGGTCTATGGTACTGAAGCCTTTTCGGAAACCGGCTTGTTCGGGAGGCTGGAAGTCGTCGAGTCTGCGTGCGAGACGATTCGTAATGACTCTCGAAAATAGCATGTAGACGCGGCTCTGAAGGGAAATCGGTCTGTAGTTCTTCAAGAGAGCGTTGTCGCCTTTCTTAAAGAACAAAACCACCGCGCTTCTGCTCCACGCCTCCGGAGTAGTGCCACCATGGAGGACGGAATTGAAGAGCTTCCGAAGGACTTCAAGTACCGGTTTTCCACCCGCTTTCAGAAGCTCCGCTGTAATTCCATCCTCGCCCGGGGCCTTGCCGTTTTTAAGGTGGTGGAGAGCCATTCTAATCTCGCTCAGACTGACATCCGGGATATCATCGGAATAGTGTCGGATAAGACTTGCTCTTGGATCGTTACTCACACTTGCGTGTGGCTCCAACGATGATGTGTACAGCTGCCCATAGAACCTCTCAATCTCACTCAAAATCTCAGGTGTCCCGGAAACGATGTTGCCACACTCAGTCTTCAGCTTTGACAGTTGGCTCTTTCTGGCAGACAGATCTCTGGCAAAGACTTTGGAGCCCTGGTTCCGCTCGATCGCTTCTTTAATACGAGAAGTATTAAAGTTGCGTAAGTCTCGCCGCATGCATTTGGATTTCTGTCTGTTCAGTTGCCTGTATGCTGTCAAATCTGTTGACGATTGCAGCCTCATCTCCCGTCTAACAGCCATGAGATTAAGACTGTGATCGGAGAGTTTTTGTGTTCTTCTACGGCGGGTCTTGCAGAACTTAGCTCCGACCGCATGGACAGTTTCCACGAGCTTGTCGTTCATATCGTCCACTGCATTGCAATCTTCTAGCATACGTATTGGTGGAGTGTTTTTGATACGGCGTCGTTTATAATCGAAGTGGACGGCGGAGCTCTTCTCCGGGTTCACATCGATGCGCCATTTTTTGAACCAAGATCCTAGGTCATCAACTGACTTTTGGATCTTGTTCCGTATAAGGGGTAGTGAGACACCTTTGCAGTAGATGGCAGTGTCATCTGCAAAGAGGGAGAGTTGAACACCTTTCGACGGGATGGGAATGTCGTTGGTGTACAGGATGTACAGCAGAGGAGCAAGTACTGAGCCCTGAGGGACACCAGCCTTGATAGTTCGCTGTGAAGAAAGCGTGCCTTCGTGTCTGAAACGAAAGGTACGATGTTTTAAATAGGAGGCCACGAGACGAACTAGACGATCGGGGAGACCTATTTTATAGAGCTTGTAGGTGAGGCCTGTGTGCCAGACTCTATCGAAAGCTTTGGCTATATCGAAAAAGACCGCGATGGTCTTATGACAACGAGGATAGAAACCGCTGAGGATATATTCCACAATGCGGTGAACTTGTTGGGGACATGAGTGTTTGGCTCGGAAGCCGAATTGATGGGGATCATAAAAATTTACTTCTGGATGCATTTTATACGTGGTAGAGCCATGCTACAGTAAGTAGTAGTATAATTGTAGCACGAATGGGTCGGCTCGACCGAGGAAGGACCACGCTCTCACAGAATGGTGAGTGTAGAGAAGCCGGAGACCCATTTTACTGGAATCGAGTCATTCCATCTTAGTCCTCAATGGTGACAACGCATCGGCATTTTGATTCTTAATTGAGGTTAAATGTAGATGTCTATGGTCCACAGCATCCACTTACCATCAGGTGGACTGTGTGCTCGATTGTCACCCTTATTCTATAAAAAAATCACTATAACTCTCCGGCTTCACCTGGATGGGGTCTATTATTGTGGCATTACTTAAAATTAAGACAATTTATTAAATAAACTTTTCAATTTTATCAAAAAAAAAAACTTAGGTTTTCGGAACAAATATGGCCTAGATACCTCCTGGTATTGCTCTATCTGTACGTAAAGTTTCACCACAATCGATACATTTCGAAAATTAGCCCGGACAGACATAAACAGACAAACCTGTCGAAAATACCTAGTTGTTTATGTGTTAATAGCATGCAAACAACCCCCTGAGCTTGATAGAAGCCAGCTATTTCAATATTAATACTGTAATTACAGAGAGACACCTCAACTATATTTGTATATGTAAGGTACATGAGGGTAATATGCTCACCGTAAGCTTGGCCGCCCTATAAAACCAAAACTAGGAGGAGGACAGAGACAAAAACACAAAGTTTTATACTATAACTAATGTATTAAGAAAAAAATAAAAAACAAGCCTTGGTAATAGTTAATAAACTCTTTTAAAAGAAAATGAACTATACTATACCGTACTCAAATCAACTAAAATATTTACTATAATATCAACTATAAAAATGGCGTCGATAAAGCGGCCCCCTTTTGACTCTATATTATTTGGTTGACGGATGAAGAACTATGGTATCACAAAGCCATACATGTAAACAAGGCTGGTTTATCACATATTGATAGAATGTGTCCAGAACTCCAGAGAAAGAAAAAATTGTAATATACATTTGTCATTGATTGGCAGTATTAATAGTATTTTATCAGACCCGTTATCAGAAGATGCCAAAAAGCTTTATGTGTTAGTAAATAAGAGATTAAGTAATTAATAAGTATATATAGTTGTTAGTATTTATCCTATTTAAGAATTTTGTTGTACCAGGGCGTCATAATCGCTTCAGCAAAAAAGCCCTTTTTTCTATAAAAAAAAAACAAGCCTGTTATTTTAGAGTTATAAGAAAGTGACTATATTACCGTCACGTACTATACAAATTTTAATCTTTAGTGCATTCCCTATAAGAAAGGATACAAAGCACGGACTTATTGTGTGATAACAGCTCATTTATTCACAACAGCCTCATGATTAAATGAATGAATGAATCCACATCATCGCAATTCCACTGTTGACCATAGGCTTCCCTACATAGTTGACTAATGTGCAATAGTTTCCACGTATGGCAGGCAGCAGTGTTGGAAAATGTACAATAATTATTGGATTCTTACAATAATTTGTTACACGAAACTAAATTGTAACATAAAACATAGCTTTCTCATTATTGTACGCTTTTATACAATATTTTTCTATTTTTACACAATATAAGTTCAATACAAGGCACACGCAACTTTAAAATGTATGAACGAACGCATCACGTACTTATACCAAATAATGTAGTTATCGCTTCTAAAAGCGCAAAACGTCTTGTATAGGAATGTATATCATTCGAACCCACGAAACAATTGGCAAATCAAATTGTCTCCAATGTCCTGTATGCAACAACTTCTCAGCAGTCAAATCCGTCTACATCTACACGTCGAGATTTCAAACTCGAAGAAGAAGACGACTTCAAATTTTCCATTCCTGTTTAGTTCATATTGTATAATTCCGTGCCCTAAGTTTTATTATTTTAGTAAAAAAAAAAATTAATAACATATTTTTAGTTTATGCAAATATAAAGAAATAGCAAAAACCTATTAAATTTGGATTTAGACAGCTTAAATAAATAAAAAAAACTTTAGCAAAAAAATACAATAATTATACCCAAAATACAATATTTTCTGGCTTGGCAACACCATAATTTCGCACCAACTATTTCCCAACACTGGCAGACAGCGACCAAATTTTATTATTACTTTGCGTTGTTGTCAGGAAAATGCTGCTGCCCTTCTCCAGTTTCATTTTCTTCTGTCGCCTTTTACGACACCTTCGAGATAATATTGGAACACAATGTGATGACACCAATAGCGATAAAACTTTTTTTAGTACGTCATTTTATATGGTTTATCCATTTTCTGCTGGCCGTATGAGAAAACTCAAGTTTGCTAAGATTTAGTAACTCAGTGATATTCTTAAGAAGAGGATATATGCAGTAAGACCAAAGTAGCCGCGTCATATCGCTTCAGGTTTAAAGGTTCTCGAGTGACATGCAACGCACCACTAGATGGAGAGGCGACGTGGTAAGACTTGCAGGATGCAGGTGGCTAATTACCGTGCCGTTCTATGTTTAGCAGTGGACTTGTGAAGGACTGTAATGATAATGATATCCATTTTTAATGCCTGTTTTAATATATACCAATTACATACCTCAGTCCAAGAGTTCTGTTATGGAATACATGTCCAGAAAAAGCTACGCCCAGACAGACTTCGGACAACCTTCGCAGCCTTGCGAAACGCATCAAATAGTTTCTACCATCGACGGCATTATCTTTCAACAGGTCGCCGAACACACGGGCGTTTGTTTCATTTGATGTCAACACCAGTATGTACTTTACCGAAAAGCCTTGAAATTAAAAAATAAATAAAATTGTTAAAGTTTTTGCAGAGCGATTGATGCATTAGAAGTTAGATTGGTAAGGCAGCTAGGTAGCTAGTTAAATGGTCATTAGTGCCTAGATTTTTACCATAATACAAAACATGTAAAAGTAAAGTTACATGCTACTAAAAAACTATATACTCCCGTCCCACTGCTGGGCACAGGCCCTTCCCTTATTTCGGGTGTTAGGGCAAGGAAGTGTCCGCCGCGCTGCCCCAATGCGTCTTGGCGAACTTCACATGTCTTCGAAATATTTTTACAAAACATGTAGAAAACATTATTTTTTGTGTTTAGGAACACCCTACTAGGAGTGTAGGAGGAATACACTAGGAATATATTTGTTAACGTAACGGTCTTTTACATACAGGTACTCGGAATAATAATAATCTGTAGGCCATACAAATACTTGTTACGTGTGGGATTCGAACTCACTGGACCGCAGCACTGAAGCCAAACTCTAAACTAATTTGTAGATTGTTTAATTTATAGGATAGCTTCAACCACTAGTATTATTTTTAAGACATTTTATTAGCTTGAAATGTATGTATTTATTGGACTCAGTTTTATCCACTTTCTGAATCTCCAGACAATAAAGCAGGTATCTCAAAACTTGAAAACAAGATTATGCAAGTCCTTGTTGCCAGTGATGACATATGGATTTGAGACGTGGTCCTTCACTACTGACCGTAGGACGAAGCTCAATGTCGCTTAGCGAGCTATGGAGGGCTATGTTTGGGGGGTTTCTGCGTGATAGACTTAGAAATGAGGGTACCCGTAGAACAGTAAAATCGAAGTAACCGACAGCCCAATGAATCAGTAACCCGAAGTGTTAACGGAGCGGTCGGCCATATAGCTCGAAGAATCGACAACCGATGGGGAAGAAGGGTTCTCGAGTGGTAACCTCGTACCGTAAGCAAAGGCTCTCCACTAGATGGAGCGTCGACCATGTTAGATAAGCAGGAAGTTGATGGATGCAGGTGGCTTAAGACCGTGCTTAGCGTTCCTTTGGAGAGGCTTATGTTCAGCAGTGGATTTCTTAAGGGCTGTAATTGATGGTGATGATGACCACAATAAAATACTTGAGAGTGTCATAGTACTCCAGCTACAATCACCACAGCGCATGGTCAATGTGTGTTGCTTTAAACTCCAATATTATTATTTGATATTTGGCCCGACCCTGGATTCTAATCCAGGACCACATGGTCAGCTGTCGCGCCTACAACCAATGGATCAACGAGGCAGTCAATATCAGATATAATCATGCTTATAATTCTTACCAATATTATCGGGAGTACCATCCTCGTCGAAATCAGCATTCCTAAATATGATATCTGCTTGAGCGACGGCGTGCATCATTCTGCGGACTACGTGGTTCAGGCTGGAGTTCGCGTCCTTCTCGTAGAACTGCTTATCGGCCAAGAGTAGCAGATCGCATATCCTGGCGGTCGCTATGCCAACCATACGACTGTGCTCTTCTATTTTGTATGGGAAGACTGGTCTTACGTCTTCTTGCTGATAGTTCGGATTTTAATGTTATAAAAATAAAAATAAACTAAGTGACATATCAATGTTATTTTCTACGTGGTAGAGCCATGCTGCAGTTATATTAGTAGTATAGTTGAAACACGAATGGGTCGACTCGACCGGAGAAGGACCACGCTCTCACAGAATACGTACGTACTTACGAAATATCCTTTTTTATTATTTATTACAGCCCCATAAGTCACCCCTTAGTATGCCTCATAGAGGGGATTTTGCGTTATAGGAGGCATTTTCCAGTTGCCACGCTTTTAGGTTGTTATAATTCTCAGTTGTCATCAGGAAGACGATGCAGCTTATCACCTGCTTCAGTATCACTCTATAGCCTTGCATGACATACCCCACGGGATGATATGGCGTAAGGTAGAGGATTCTTTTACGCCGCCACCTAATGGGCGATGTATGCGTAGAAAATATTACCTACTTTGTTTAGTTATATTAATTTACGCATTTATTATTTATATTAGTGTATTGTTTATATACGTGATATATTGTATATACGTGGTAGAGCCATGCTGCAGTTATATTAGTAGTGTAGTTGTAGCACGAATGGGTCGGCTCGACCGGGGAAGGACCACGCTCTCACAGAATACCAGCGTGAAATAGTAGCTTAATGCTGCTGTATTTCGTATGGTGAGTGTCGAGAACCGGAGACCCTTTTTACTGGAAACGAGGCATTCCATCTCAGTCCTCACGGGTGACAACGCATCTGCATTTTGATTTTTAATGGAGGATGGATGTAGATGTCTATGGGCCACAGCAACCACTTACCATCAGGTGGACTGTGTGCTCGTTTGTCACCCTATTCTATAAAAAAAATTGTTAAAGATGTGAGACGTCTGGTACAGCGACCAGATTGGTCGATTCACTTGTTAAGCGTAACAATTTTTTTTATACGAAAGGGGGCAAACGAGCATGTGGCTCTCCTAAAGGTAAGTAACTACCGCCGCCCATCAACAACTGCATCACCAGGGGAATTTCAGATGCGGACATATCCCTGGTGGTAGGCGATTCCACAAAGGAGTTGTGAGAGGAAGAAAACTTCTTGTTGGGAAATTAATTTCTCGCCAATTCTGCCAACGTGTTTTGCCTTGGCAATAACGTTTTTGAAATATATAGGCGAAATTATACTTTTTAAGCTTGCTGGTGTTTCTATGCAAACCGCCGAAGCATCAGGCCAGGCCTGATAACACTTTCGCTTTCTGCGTAATACAGTATTACAGGAGCGATCAAACTATGGTTGAGATCTGCTTCCGATAGGTACCACGTATGACGGAATAAATACTTCCATTCCCTATAGTACTACATCAGTGACTGAGTCAGCAATAGCCCTGGGATCATCCGGCGAAAAGTAAGCCCGCCCCTATGGGTAGAATGCAAAGAAAAACCGCATTCTGTGCCAATCCGCTGACCTGTAATACCAAGCACGACGGCAACCTGCAAAACGCAACCGTTGCAGGTAGCGTGAGTGGCACCACACTCTACTCACATTTACATTGAATGAAGTCATTTCCTCCCTACAACGGGAGATGTCCACGTCCGGCAATGGACTATTAAGAGCTGATAAAAAAAGAAAAAAATTTAATAAATACTACCTATATTTTCATTAGCTAGTAAGTTTGGCGACCTACCATTAGATGGTTTCGACCTGATGAAACATTGTGCGGATGCAGGTGACTTAGGAAAGTTATTATATGGGAGTCTATTGGGGAGGCCTTTGTTTATCAGTGGATTTGTGATGAGCTGTAGTGAGTGGTACTGAAAAAAGGAAGGCTTTGCACGTTTAGATTTGTTACAGTCACAAATGGCAGCCTGATTAGTTGGTTTTTAAACGGTTTTGAGAGAGGCCGTTCAGCAATAGTCTACTTACGCTTAAACATCATAGTGACGAATTAGTCAGTTACTTAAAATTGTTTTATCTTAAATAATGACAAAAGCTATGGATGGAAATGAATTTGTGAACTGAAGCAAATGAACATCTTCACCTGATCACCTGGTTATGATCGCGACGCGGTCGTACGGGGGCCGCCATATTGTCGTTTTCGAACGCTCCGAAGAATTTGTGAGGGTCGTCCTTGCCGTACGGATCCGCGTGCAGTGTGCGATTACCTGAGGTGAGGCACAAAAATAATTAAATTAGTACGTTAGCCATGAGCACCGGTTGCAAAATATGAAAAAGAATCTATTATGTGGAATTATAGACATTTGTGTGCCTTTATTAGCTGACTTCAAAAAAGAAGAGTGAGAATCAAGTAAGAAGTAAGAACCTTCCTCGACTCTCCCTGTCTCTCTGTATTTTACTGCATTTTCTACTCGAATGTATTTTTTATGTATATTACGAGATATCTACGCCAATTGTAAACAAATTTCTACGATTCTTTTTTTATTAAATAGGTTAAAATTTAAGGGTTGCCCAATATAAATTTAGGAAGATATTTCTACTTCCAAGGGTGGAAAATAGGATGTGAAGTTATTAAATGCAACTATTTAGATAACACTAGTATTGTTTCCTTCGGCTTGTGATATGCCTTAGTCTACTCAAAAGGGACAAATTTAGACTTGTAATAAAATACTAAAGTGAACTCTCGATAAAATACTCAAAGTAAGGCTATCTTCAAAAAAATAAAATTATTTTTCCATAACTTCTGAGCTTCGATTTCAGAAGAAGAAGAAAAAATTTTATTATTTGGAAATTATTTTAATTTTTATTATTATGTGAAGTTCGCTTTTATATTTTTTTATAGGATAGGGGGCAAACGAGCATACGGCTCCCCTGATGGTAAGTGATTACCGCCGTCCATGAATAACTAGAACAACAAGAAAATTGCAAATGTGTTGCCGGCCTTTTAAAAAGGAGTAAGTTTTTTTCCCTTTTTTGATTTATTAAAAGCATTATTTTTTGCTTTACTATAAGAAATCTATTCTGTATTAAATAGAGTACCCAGGTAGGTAACTAGGGTCGCTAGACATTATAGATGTTTGGGTACCGTATACAATAAAAAATGGCGATGTGTTTCTCATGGTGAGCGACGAACACCGGAAACCATTTTACTAGATGACAATATCTGCATTTTGATTCTTAACCGAGGACAGATGTATCCATTGACCATAGCATCCATTTACCAACAGTTGTAATGTGCGGTCGTTTTCATCGCTATTTGCATAAAAAAGATTAGATTTTATATAATTTAACACAATACCTAAATGTAAAACACCATAAAAGTGATGATCCTCTCCAATATAACCTTCAGCTGAACCAGCTGCCGGGTCCTCTACGGGGAAGCCGTAAGCCATCATTATATCTGCAAGTAGGTATCCTCCTTGATAGACTTCGTCAGGCTCAGGATCGACAAGCAAAGCCGTGTGTTGGGTTGTTAGAGGCGACGAACCTAAAAAACCGCACATGTATACCGCACACTAGCGATCCGCCCCGGCTTCGCACGGGTGTTTTCTATTTATTTTTTTGTTTATTCAATAAAAGAACATAATTTGTTTTTTATCGGTCCCCACGCTCAAAAATTGTAACTTGAATTAATATCAAAGAAAAAAATAAAGAAAAAAATACTGCATAAATAAAATAAATAAATAATTATAATTGCATAAGTTGATAAAAATGCTATGCAATAGCTTTACCGCGGCAGTCCCCGAGTGCCACACGTATTTTTTTGTTGTCCAGTTCCATATTGAGGTAGTTATAAAGTGCAGAAAATGACAAAACAATTCTTTCTAAGCTTATTTAATAAAAATGAATATAGTAACTAATGCTTAGAATTTAAACTCAATGAGAAACCTTTATTACATTTTAAGCGAGCAATTCATGTTGTGTTTTGTCAAATTGTTCTGTACGTGTGTTTATCACCAAGGTCCTCCTAAACCGCTGGGCAGATTTTGAAGGATTTTTTGTGTCTTTGAGTGGATCACGGAATGGTAAGTTTTACAGTTGGAACCGGTAGATGGCGCTGTTACCGAGATCCAGAAATCACCCGGGTGAATCCGGGACAGATTGCTAGTAATAATATAAATATTTAATAATTCAAATCGTTGCAACCGTTTCCGAGAAGCCAATTGGTTTCTCGTTGCTTTCTCAGAAACGATTGTAAAGATTTGAAATTTGTACGATTTTTGTATTTAGATTTTTAGATATATTTAACTTTCCGAGGTGGCAGCCCTGAGAAAATTATATTGTTATTTTAACGTTAAAATTCGAAATCTCGGTCGCTCCCGTATTGTCTGATATCTGTACACAGACAGTGTGTACCTTGTGACTGATGTAATTTATCTTCGTGCTGTGAATCCCGCAAGAAACAAGTTTTTGTATGATATGAGATGATACAATTGTGTTATGTAACCGTGGAGTGGCGATGTAAGAATATCCAACCAATATTATCCCATGGGTGTCGTAAGAGGCGGGAGAAACATTAACAGGATATGTGCAGCAGTATTTTCCTGATGAACAACTCTAAATAATAAAAAAACTGAGGTTGTCAACCCACTTGCCAAGCGTAGAAACTATGCCTAAGTCCCTCTTATGAAGGAATCTATAGGGGGAGGCCTATGTTCAGCAGAGCACTTTTATAGGCTATAATGGATCGATGGAGGATAGATCGGGATGTTTGTTCACCTGTAAATAATGTATTTGAAACTCCTCCACGATACAGGAGAAAATCTTTATGTGAAGTTACGTATTTTACAAAAGAAAATCAAAGAAAGAATGAAATGATGGGCCAGCCATGTAGCCCAAAAAACCTACAAACGATGGGAAAGAAAGGTTCTCTCGTCTAAGTCTTGTACCGGTTCACGAAGGTTCGACAGTGTAACGGTTCGCAAGTCAAGACTACTCCTGTACATAACGAACAAATACTTGTGGTAAATTTTTCCTTAAATATTTCAAATTTAAATTTACCTATGGATTTAAGCTTCAAGCAGAGCCAATGTGTCTCTTTGCCGAATATTCCTTCAACTAATCGGTAGCCGTATGAACTGCAGATTTTGTGTCCTCTCTGCGGTTGCCCCTGCACATCCAAGCCTTGCACAAGCAGCCCTAACACTAAGTGACACGTGTACACGATCATCCAACCGGCCATAATATAAATTTAGAATTTTCCTTACACTTATCAACATTGACGTGAGCACGGGATGTGAGTTGCTGTCATTTTGACGGTGTTTACTTTCTCTGTTCCTGTGTAGTTTTATAGCTAATATAAGTAAAAGAAAGAAGGTGTTATTAAGAAGATATTTGGAAATTAGAAGAATACGTTTTTAATTACCTATTGCTATTGCACTGTAACTGTAGCTCAAATTGATTGCACTAATAAAAATAACGAAATTTTTCAAGAACATTATAATAAGTTTACCTTTAGTTTTTTATATTCGTTAAGTTTGTTCGCGAGATATCTGAAAAAAGTATGGAGTATGGAATACGTCTGTATGGAGTATGGAATACGTGTGTCAGGTCTTTGCTGAATTTAACTGGCTGGTGCACTTTTATTACAATTACTATAATAAATATACAGAATAATTTCAATTCTACAAAGTCGCGTCATTACCTTCTTACAGTAAAAGACGGAAACCAGTCTATCTGGTGGTAAGTGGCTACTATAAGAATGTCAGAGACTCGTTGTTACACCTAAAGGTTATCATGAGAAGCCTACTGTAGTTATACTATTTTTTATTCTTCCAATCAGAGCATAATACTGGATGGTTTACTGTACCAAAAATTCGTTCTAAAGATGAGAAAGAACATTCTCTTTCAACTTCCTTTTTGCTTCGATTTAGTCTGATAAACAGATTTTAAGGTAAACACGATCTGTCAGAATTACGGACGATTCTTTTCTATGGACTTGTTGTGCGACACTGTCTAGGGATATTTTACATTCATTAGCATAACTTTAAAGGCTAAAAAGTGTCCGTGGACCGGGCACAGTCAAGGATATTTTTGGTCGACATTACCTTTCCGTATGAGGAGAACATTGCGAAAGCCGAAATAGATAATTGCATGCTTTAAGCGCATAGGCGCGTAGGTTTGTTCTACTAGCCCCTAAAAATCAAGAATCCAACGTTTTGTCGCACGAAATCGTATCTAACAATCACATTGAACATATAAGTGATATAAAAAGCACATTATCAGAAAGATAAATGATTGTTAAACTTATTTTTTTTTAAATCAATTAATTGATATTTTTACATTAAAAAGTGGTTTCATGGCTTATGGTGTAGATTTATTAAGTTAGCATGGAGGGGTAAATACGATAACTTTTGAAAATGTCAATTGTTCAACTCAATCTATTTTTTAATCTTTTTATCTATCATGTGGGAAGCCATGGAATGTAAATGGCTATTTAAATTGTTTTGTTTAGATATAACTAAAATTTTTCGGCTCAGAAATTCCGAAATTTTCAGTGTCTTGAGCAGCATTGTAATAATATATTTCACTAAATACACTTTGATTCACTCCGGGGTCCGGGCTCGGCCGCCGTCGTGAGTGGATTACTGTATCGTTTGTGTACAGCGGCTTGTGATAAAAAACATCGATCGCTGTAGATATAAAAAATATTCCAAAAACCAAATTTGACACATACTTGACCAAGGTCATAGATAAGAGTGTATATACGGAAAACCAAGGTAAAGTAAAGTAAAGTTACAGCCTATATACGTCCCACTGCTGGGCACTGGCCTCCTCTCATTTCTGAGAGGGTTCTAGGTCAAGGAATAGTATAGTAAATAGAATAGTAGTTATTAGTGAAAACTTGTGTGTATTTAAAATATGTACTTTAAAAAATTTACTGTAATATGAACTTAAGGCATGCACATTTGAATTTAAAGTTAAGTTATTATAAATAAGTAAACAAAATATCTGGATTGGCAGATACTCAAAGTGTTTTCGGTCATACAGATTTGCTTTTTAAACTTTGTATAGTTCAAATTATAATATTTTTGGTCGAAATTGCATAAAGTTAAAACGAGCGTACAAACAATTACTTATGTAAATAATTATCTATTTATCATGCGATCGTGACTCAAAAGACTTTGTTGAAGTTGCTATTTAAAGGAATTTAATGAAAGAAAGTACACGTCAAAATATTAATGAAGGCACGTAATGAATTTGTTAAAGAGTCGGGCGCAGAAACATGGCTCCGATGGCGCTATAACTCGAATATTCTCCACTCGGCTTGCTTACCAATTAGTGTTGAATTAATTCATCCAAATAATATATTAGTCACACATAGTGTAGTACTGCCATACGTTTTAGTGTCCGGGTGAAATTCGGTCTTTTATATCTCCGAGGGAACTCTGACTAAATTACGATCAAAACAAGCGCAAAATACATAATCATTTCCTATCTTCATTCAGTATTTGATCAACACATTAAAGCGCCTTAAAATCGAATTGTGGTGAAAAGCACTCCAAAAAATATTTCCTTCGAGGATGTCCGGGGTAAGAAATCTTCTTCATCTATTCATCAGCCTTTTCATGGTCTTCAGCAGGACATTGCCTGTCCCAGAGAGGCTCATGAATAAGAAATCTGTTACAACCAAATTATGCGGTGTTTATGACCGAGTTTAAAAAACGGAGAGGATTTTATTTCAACACGTATGTTCGCCGATTTCTCGGAAGCGGCTGAATCGATTTGAATGATTCCTAATATCTTGAATAGTTTATACTTCGGGGATAGTCCCATATAAATTTGAACAAAAGTTTCCACTTCTTAAGAGTTCGGCTTGCGCCGCATCTATCTCACTTTTTTATATAGGATAGGGTTACAAACGAGCAAACAGTCCACCTGATGGTAAGTGATTGCTGTGGCCCATAGACATCTACATCTATCCTCGATTACGAATCAAAATGCAGATGCGTTTGCACCCGTGAGGTCTAAGGTGGAGTGCCTCGTTTCCAGTAAAAAGGGTCTCCGGGTCTCTACACTCGCCATACGAAACACAGCAGCATTAAGCTACTGTTTGACGCTGGTATTCTGTGAGAGCGTGGTCCTTCTCCGGTCGAACCGACCCATTCGTGTTGCAACTATACTATTAATATACCTGCAGCATGGCTCTACCACGTTTCACAAAGTATGCAATCATTTCATCAGTGTTTTGTTATGTTATATTATTCTAAAGGGTAAAAAGATTACAATTTTTATAAAATGTAACAATTTAATTCCAAAAATAAAAATAATAATTTCCATTGAAGAAGTCGTGGCTTTAATTTATTACACAATCTTCAATACACTATGTCTTAGCACCAACATCGCAAGCCATTATGTAGATATTATTTTATTCTTGTTAGTTTCGGAAGTCTGTTTTTACTTTTATTAGAAGCTTAATTTTTGGAAATCAATGTCCGACGCTGGCTTAGTTAGGTGGCGGCCCTCGTCTTGAGTGAACTTAAAAGTTTAATTATATGTATAG